CGCCTGTTTTCATGTTAACCATTCTTCTTGTCAGTCGGTAGATGTATGCCAAGTTGTTTAGGGGTTGTATTTATGTAGGTACCTTCAGCTTTGACACAAAAGGGGGCGGTGGGGTAGCTTAGTGGTTAAAGCGTTCACTCGTCACGCCAAAGACCCGAGATCAATTCCCCACATGGGTACAATGTGTAAAGCCCATTTCTTTTGTCCCCCACCGTGATATTGCTGGAATATTGCTAAAAGTGGCATAAAACCATGTTCACTCACTCACTTTGACACAACAGTGGTTTACTGTATGTCTTGAAACAACCTTCAAGACTATTTTGAATTTTAAGGGCTGTATTTAAGGGTTGTAATTCAGAGTCTGCCTTTATAATGGATATTACACTGTCCTTGAATATTCCTTGCCAGTCCCTATCTCAAGTTATTCACCTCAAAATACATCTTGTCAGAGTTTGAAATATACTTTGTTCAAATCAGTTACAAACTTTTTAAGTTATACCATCTTTTTAGAATCATTTAGTTCCATTTTCTTGTGGGCACAGTATCTGAAGCCTATTTTCATTTATTCTGCTGTGATAATGCTTACATACTGCTGTCAGATTGCTGAATATTTCTTTGAGAGGGATTTGGTGAATATTGCTGTGATGTTGCTCAAATATTGCTGAAGTCCTACTGAAAACAATGTATGTCTCCATGCACACTGGGGCCGTTGGGGTAGCCAAGTGGTTAAAGTTTGTCATAGTTAAATGGGATGCCCCTTGCCGTGATGTTGCTGGAATATTGCTAAAAGCTGGCGAAACTAAACTCAGTCAGTCAGTCAGTCCATGCTCACTGCCCCAAACTGTTGGTACATATGATTTGATTTGTAAATTGCAAAATTAAAAAACATAAACTGCAAATAGGAACGAAATATTTTTGTCATACAAAGGGAGTGAGTGAGTATTGTTTTACGTCGCTTTTAACAATATTACAGCAATATCACAACGGGCGACACCAGAAATGGACTTCACACATCATACCCATGTGAGGAATAGAACCTCATGGGCATGATGAGCAAATACTTCAACCACTAGGCTACCCCACCGCCCCCATACAAAGGGAGATTAATGCAAGATCGATGTACCATGCATAAAACTTATAAAAGAAACAATTCCACAGACTTTTAAAATTTAAATCAACTTTAAATATAAACTCATTTTTCTTTATCATCAGTCTTTTTTGATGCAAGATCACACTATCTCCCTCACTCCTGATCATTTTTGCAATAACAGACCCAAGACTGAATGAAAGTCACCTTCAAAGTGTCGCCTCTCTCCCGTCTACATTAAAGGCCAACTGGTTGGTATACTCATCAAATCAAATTAGGTGGCCGAGATGTCACAGAGTGCACATCCATCAAAGCACTGAAACATATTACTGGATACTTTGAAGCAAAGGTCGTACGACGTGTTTAAACCCGAGGATGCCCTTTGTTGCAGTAGAGCAGTAGGGGATCTAACCTTGTTACATTCAGTGATAACGTTTATTACACACTCATTTTCATGGAATTCTTATGTTCAGATAGCTGTTAAATCTAAAGTAGAATTCTGAAATCATTTGATGAGATTGTGTCATATGTTTGATTAAATGTGGGTTCTTTAACCACAGTTCGAGTTGTGTAGGTTGAGGGGATAGTTTTTCTCTGAAACCAAAGTTCATTTGAGGGCATGTTTGATGTTGGAACGTCAAGGATCGAGATCTTTGTGTTCATATCAGCTTAATTTTTCATATTTTTTTATTTTGTTGTAGGATTAGAGATGTAGTTGGGAAATATAAAAGTGTTTAGTTTTCTTTTTAAAGATCATCCTCAGAAGTCTCAAGTTCTGACACTTTATACCACTTTTTTTTAAATGGAAATGTCATCTCAGAATATTTAAACTTGACTTCCATCTTTTGTGTCATATTTCAATGAAAATAGCTATGCCTTTGGGAATGATATGGTCTTGTGATTTCACTAGAATTTTTCTGCATGCCTTCATCAAACTCAAACCTCACCTCCTATATGTACTTCTTTCAAAATGGGGGTGGTGGGGTAGCCTAATGGTTACAGCGTTGGCTTGTCACGCCGAAGACCCGGGTTTAATTCCCCACATGGGTACAATGTGTGAAGCCCATTTCTGGTGTCCCCCGCCGTGATGTCTCTGGAATATTGCTAAAAGCAGCGTAAAACCAAACTCAGTCAGTCTTTCAAAATGTTTTACCTGTACTTATACATTATGTGTTCAAGAATCAATGACTGAAGTCACATAACACGCTGGATGTTTATAGAGACAAGTGTCCGTGTAAGGAATCAGTTCCGGTACTTTACTCACAACAAAGATTCCAGTGGTGTACTCTGTGAATCTTGTTGAGGCAGTAGGGTAGCCTAGTGGTTGAAGTGTTCACCTGTAACACCAAAAACCCGGTTCACTTCTCCAAATGGCTTTGGCTTGTGAAACCGTCTTCTGGTGTCCCCTGTCATGATGTTACAGGAATAATGAAGGTGACGTAAAACCAAACACACTCACCAGGGGTGGATTTATCTTTAAAATTGCTAGTGTACTCCGGTACAGTGGCACATGTAAAATCACTTGCCCTGATAATTTTTCCGCTATCTGGACGTTTTCTTGTTGATTTTTTAAAATAAACAACATAATTAACATTGCAAAGTCATCTGGACACCGGTACAGTGTGATATACAAATTTGCTTGCCCGAGAGAAAAAATCACTGGACTCGGACGTCAGGCAATGCGTTATTTCCACCCCTGCTCACCTTCATGGGCCTTGTTCTTGAGAGATTTCAACATGTCTTGTAGGGGTTGATTCTGACATTCTTCTACAAACGTAGACCTGGCAAAAGTAACAGAAATTGATGGCGGAAATTGCATGACCAATGATGTGTGTGGAGTTATTAGCTGAGTAGCAATGTTGTGAGCTTGTCCAAATGTGGAACTGGCATTTTTAATCAAATATGACGTTGGCACTATTAACCAAATATGGTATTAACATACAGTATTGAATTTTTCACCATTAGATAGTATTCTGTTACAATCTACATATGATGTTGACATTATTGTGCAATTATACTATTGAAATTTTCACACAATTATGGTATTTGCAAAATAAAGTATTCATGGTTGATGTTCCAATATATCTACAGTGAAACCTGCCAACACCGGTACCAGTCTAATCCGGCACACTCTCATAACTGGCATAAAATTTTTGTCCCGCCGTTTTACAACGATGTTATGATCATTAAAACATTATCTAATCCGGGACCTGTCTATTCCGTATTCCGGCATGACTTTCCAGTCCCAACAAGCAATTTTAACTGTAATTAACACTGTTTAAACCAGTATGGGTATGGGCAGTGCAATCAAGGACCTATAAACCAATACACTAATTAATCCTCTTGGCACGCTAGATAATCAGGAAGTAGTGATTGTGCAGTGAATCAAATGCTCTAAGCTGGCATGGGTATGAGCAGTCCAGTCAACGTCCCTTATTCCAATACACTCCTCACATTATAGAGATAAAAAGACTGACGAGTGTAAATGGCAGCCAGGTTGGAAAATGATCATCACTGTCTAATCTGGCACCTTGTCTAAAGCGGCATTTTAGTTCAGTCCCATGGGGTGCCGCTTTAGACAGGTTTCACTGTAATTTTTCCTTATCCTGACTCATGCTTATTGCTTTCTCTTCCTTCTATGCGAATGGTAGTGGAACACTTAGAGGAGACTCAGCCACTGATAGCCGGTACCTGCAATCACTGCAAGATTTCATCAAATGTAAACAAACTACATTATGATGAATAAATGTCACAAAATAGGAATAATTTTCTCAAAATTTTGGCATACGATGAAAACTAAATATAACCAAAATCATACACAGCTTAATTTTGAGTACAGGATCTAAATATTAAAGCATATGGTGCCGTATCAGGAATCCAGTGTTCACCCAACCATGAAGGATGAGAGAGTGACAAGTATGGCAGGTCACATGACTGTTTGCGTGGGAAAAGGGAGGCAACTCGTGGGTGAGAGAACTTTTACGTCCTCTTCAGGGAACTACAAGGGATTCTAAGTGTTCCACTACCATTTGCATAGAAGGAAGAGAAAGCAAATAAGCATGAGTCAGGATAAGTATAAAATATCAATTTTACTCAAAAAATTACATTGTTGTTATACAGATATGGCATTGACAGTGTTACCTGAACATAGTTTCGACATTATTAGTGTATTTGAGAGGAGTACTTTCTGCAACCTGGAAATGGTTTATCTACTTCTTTTCTACTATAGTTACATGCAATTTCAGTGTTTGTTTAGCTGATTCTGAATATTGCCCAACATGGGTACAAGTGGTTAAAATTTGCTAATATGCTGAAGACCATTTCTGTGTCATTTCTGTGTCCGTGATATTGCTGGAATATTGCTGAAAGCGGCTAAAACTAAACTTACTCAAGCCTTGGTTACTGCCATTATGGTGGTCAGCTTGTTGACATGTTTTCGTATTGTTTTGTATAGGGATGCAATAAATGCATGGCTGGTACCTTATGCTTTCGGAAAATATCAGCTTCCCATGTGGTGCACTGTGATCAAATCAGCTGTTTCACTCAGAGGTGGTTATTATGATTTGAAACCTCTGACAACTAAGTTGTAAGTTATAAGAGAAATCGTTTAATTATTCACCATATTGTCACAGATACAGCTATTAAATATATACTAGCTTTAACATAATTGCTACTGTCATATCTACTGTTTCAATATCGGAGGTGGTTATTGGTATTTGAAACCTCTGATCAATGAGAAATAATTGAATATATTATAAATTTGTTTCAGAATTAGTTTTGAAGAAATGCACCAAATACTTCAAGAAGTTCCTTTTGGGAGGTCTAGAACTTCTTGACAACTGTTAATGGATAGTTAACTGAAATGTAGGCAGGGGTTTGTTAATAATTATAACAAATGATGTTTGTGTTACAGAACTGTGAGCTGAGTCAAGTAGAGAAGGCGATTTTGTGTATACAGAGATATTTCCGTGGATACAAGGGGAGACAACTCTACAGAGATCTCCTGTTTGAAAGATTTGAAGAGGTAGGTCTCTAATATACAGTTGAGCATTCAAACTTTCAAACGCTTTGAAAAATTGGGGAATTTTGTCAAAATGGCAATATAACTGGAATATTGCTTCATACAGTGTAAAATAACAAACAAATAAACAAAAGACACAGTGATGTATGTGCTGAATATATATTAGCACAGAAATGGGCACCAATGTGTGGAATCGAACTCAGGTCTTCAGCTTTACGAGCGAATGCTTTAACCACTAGGCTACCCCACCGGCTGGAAAAGCATGGTTCAATGGGTTTGGGAAAATTTTCAGGCCATGTATAGATTTTTGCGAGATGCCATTTAATTCAGAAATGTAGTTTGAATATTGTCTTAATTATGTATCAGTTCTGTAGATCTGCTTTCATGCAAAATACTTTCAGAGACCATTGGTTTAGGGTACAAACCAGGTACAACTTGGTTTGTGTTGCCTTCAGTTTTTGTCTTGAAACTTTGGCCTATACCAGGTAAATCTTTCATTTAATGGTAATAAAATCACAGACTAAGATACCGGAATCTGTGCTTTAAAAAGTACAGATAAAGACCTTTCCCAAGTGTAGACCTTGCGAGGAAATCATCGATGATGTTCAGCAAGTCAGTTCTCATGTTGTGATTATTGACCTTGGCACATGCCTTTTCCTGACTGAAAAACATTTTTTATCCCCCGCACTTTAAAACCATTCACTATTCACTATTAAGATGTGCTCTGACTGTGTGTGTGGGCATCTGTCCATCCGTCTGTGCACTTTTTTCGTCCTTTCCGGAGCAGAACTTCATAACCGTTCACCATTTCTTCACCAAACTTGGCACATAGATTGGTCTGGTGGTGTACTGGTGCCTTTTGGTAGTTTTGGATATTTGAATAAAATATTTTTTGTGTTTCCATGGCAACAAGTTTGACTTCTACTGAATTTAGTGGTTGTGCTCTTTTCCGGAGCAGAACTTTAAAACCGTTCACTATTCTTTCACCAAACTTGGCACATAGATAGGTCTGGTGGTGTACTGGTGCCTTTTGGTATTTTTTGAAATTCTGAATAAAATATTTTTTGTGTTTCCATGGCAACAAGTTTGGCTTCAACTGAATTTGGTGGTTGTGCTTCTTTCTGGAGCAGAACTTAAAAAACTTTCAATGCTCTCCTTCCACTTTGCCATATACACACCAAAACATTTGACAAAATCATAACTAGTAGACATATTCATAAGAGTATTTTGCCGTTGCAGGGGATATTGATGACTTTGTCATCTTGTCTATTTTTGTCTTGAAATGTCATTCTGATGTAAGGTAATATACAAGTCTGCCAAACCTGCTCAAAATTGCTGATGTGGCGTTAACATTTTTACTTACTGACAAACCTGATCTGATGAATGTTTCGGCACTCAATGAAATGTTTGCAGGCCATGTACAATAATATGTTTAATTACCCTTGCTAATTTGTATTGAACATCAACAGACCAAGTTCATCATGTTGTTTGTTCTTACAGTTATAGATTTTACAAACAAAACAGAATTACTTTCACAAATAGGATCTGATAATGCACTTACAAATGTCATTGAATCTTGGAGGCATGGATTGTTTGGAACAATGGCGATGACATCACAGACGGTGTGGCAAGTCATGCATGAAACCAGACTGAGATCACGGTTTACTGAGCACAGTGCCACAGACAGTTCCTGGTTCAATACAATAGGGAATAGATAATGAGTTTGTGATGTAAAGGTGTTACACAGTACAGTAGGCAGCTGTAGAGAGAGTCAATGGCAATGGATTGTTTATAAATACCTTTATTGTTGTGAGTTTCTTTTTTTATTAATTTTTTAAATGTTAACTCCACTTAATTTTCTTGGTAAGTGTAGGCAGGAGTCAGAGTTTAAGTATTTAGCAGGATTAATTTCTGTCAAATCCCTGAGGAAACCTAATTGAATAAAAACGTTTTAAATTAACTTAATACTTTTGCATTTAAAGATTGATTAAAAATTCCTTTATTGGAAGGAATTAGGAATAAACAGTTTCCCAACTGTTGTTAGACAGTGAGGTGGCAGGTGGTTAAAGAGTTTTCCAGAAGAATTGAAAGTGTGTTTTATGAATGTTCAGCCTGTTATTTTTATCCTTTCACACAATGTCAGTTCAAGATGGTTCTGATGCAGTTTTTCTATCTTCCCAGGAGGAGAGGATGAGACAAGAGAAGACAATGCAGCAAGTGGAAGAAGGACAACTCTTGGTGGACAAGTAAGTCTGCATGATATTGGTGTTAAATTACCAGCTGTGGAGAATCGTGGATTGTCTTAGTGAGTGAGTGGACAATGGATGACATCATGGTGTATTGTTCTATATGATTTGTATTGTTGAATATAATGTCTTAAACAACTGGGTGTTATGATTATGTTTTTGCTACAGTGTTGCAGTATGAAGACAAACAATAGATGTCAACCTTGTGTATTTGCTCTCTATGGTTCTTGAAATGTCACAAACAATGTGTTAAAATTATGTTTTCTCTACAATATAGCAATACGACACAAGCAATGGATGACATCATTGTGTATTGTTCTCTATGATACTTGAATATGTCATAAACCAGGGGGTGTTATGATTATATTTTCTCTACTGCAACATGGCAACACATCACTGGGATTGTATTTGAATATACTTTCATGAACAATCGGGTGTTTTATTATATTTTCTCAACAATGTTGCAATATGAAGACACGAACAATGGATGACATCATTGTGTTATTGTGTCAATATATTCGGGTATCTTTGATACAGTGTCTAATAAATAAGATACAGTTTACAGAGACTTGCCCCTGTCATTACAGACAGATTTGTCCCTATCTTCCAAACTCATGTCTAGACTACAGACCTGAGAATGGTTACTGTGGCAAAACGAGGTAAATAATGTATATGTTTCGGTAGTGCTTATCTGATGAAGAACACGTTACCCTATTTAGGTACCAAATGATCCTCCTTGCTCATAAATGATGTAAAATATGAATGTCGGCTTCAATCTGCAGATGTACAGCAGGAAGAAAATTTCAACTGTTAATCAGTATTCTCAGTTCACTAGTAGGTCATCAGTTTTGAGCTGTCATGATTTGCTACAAGAAAACAAGAATGTATCTCAGTCTATTACATGTTTGAAAAAATGTCAGCTTTACTTTCTGATAATCATTTAAAAGACTTTAAAAAAAAGAAGCCTTGAGTGACAGGTTTAGGTTTATATTTTATGTATCTTGGATACTAAACTGTGGATTAGGTGTCCACAATGGCAGATCATCAGCTGGTTGATTACAGTGGTCCACCGGTGCATGGCTTGGTTATCTGCATGCATTACAACTGAACTCAATTCTGCAATGTTATAACATTTGTGAAATGAAAACATGAAATATCTTATGTTTGATTGTTTCATTGTAAAACATGCATACCTATTTTACAAGTTTGAATTGCCTTTGAATTCTCTCAGTGTTCAGACTCAAGTGAAGGAAGTATTGTATATTCTCAGCCTGGGCTGTTGCTTGAGCAAGGATTTTACGAGAGCTTCTCCCAACTGTCGCAAATCTTGATGGAGATACATTTTTTTCAAAGATTTTTTGCAGGTAACTCATTTCTAGGCACTCTTATCTAAAACAAGGAGAAAAACACATTAGATAAACTATAAAATAATGAATCTTTTATCATTAATAATATTTTAACATTATTATTCTAATTCAGATTACAATGCAAAACAATGTGTTTTTTAGCATTGGTTTTTGGACAGAGATATGTAAAGGGGAACAACTCATATAGTCTTCAAGGGCTGGACAAGCCTGAAGGTGTAAGACAATGTAGAGCATTGCTAGTCTTACGTTAAGTAATAAACTTGTTACTGTCAGTTTTTTAAAATGCATGTTAGAATGTTTACTTCTATGTTGTTTCAGGTGGAGACGGTTTTATATGTTTTTTTATCATGTTGTGTTGTTTCACCCAGTTCTCACAATAGGGTCCCCACTGTAGGATTGTTAAAGTTATGTCGGATTATCTTGTTGTGATCTTGTGTCTGTACCCCGACTTGTGTCTGTATCCCGACTTGTGTCTGTATCCCGACTTGTGTCTGTATCCTGTACCCCGACTTGTGTCTGTACCCCGACTTGTGCCTGTATCCCGACTTGTGTCTGTATCCTGTACCCCGACTTGTGTCTGTATCCCCAACCTGTACCCGACTCCTGACTTGTGTCTGTGTCCTGTACTTGTGTCTGTACCCGACTTGTGTCTGTATCCCGACTTGTGTCTGTATCCTGTACCCCGACTTGTGTCTGTATCCTGACTTGTGTCTGTATCCCGACTCGTGTCTGTATCCTGACTTGTGTCTGTATCCTGACTTGTGTCTGTATCCCAACTTGTGTCTGTACCCCGACTTGTGTCTGTATCCTGTACCCCGACTTGTGTCTGTATCCCGACTTGTGTCTGTATCCCGACTTGTGTCTGTACTCCGACTTGTGTCTGTACCCCGACTTGTGTCTGTACCCCGACTTGTGTCTGTATCCTGTATCCCGACTTGTGTCTGTACCCCGACTTGTGTCTGTATCCCGACTTGTGCCTGTACCCCGACTTGTGTCTGTATCCCGACTTGTGTCTGTACCCCAACTTGTGTCTGTATCCCGACTTGTGTCTGTACCCCGACTTGTGTCTGTACCCCGACTTGTGTCTGTACCCCGACTTGTGTCTGTATCCTGTACCCCGACTTGTGTCTGTATCCCGACTTGTGTCTGTATCCCGACTTGTGTCTGTATCCTGACTTGTGTCTGTATCCTGTACCCCGACTTGTGTCTGTACCCCGACTTGTGTCTGTATCCCGACTTGTGTCTGTATCCCGACTTGTGTCTGTACCCCGACTTGTGTCTGTACCCCGACTTGTGTCTGTATCCCAACCTGTGTCTGTACCCCGACTTGTGTCTGTACCCCCGACTTGTGTCTGTATCCCGACTTGTGTCCGTATCCCGACATTAAGATGGACTCGATCAGTTGCACTGTTGTTGTCCTGACAGAAACTGGTCTTCATTAGTTACTGACGTTGTTTGTTTAAGTCTGACTCAGCAATATTACAGCGAACAGACGGCGGCCTGTAAATAATGGAGTCTGGACTAGTCTGTCTCACAGTCCCGGAAACATTATTCTTATTAGACTTTCTTCTGGTTCTGAATCTCCCTTCACATTGGGCCTTCTTTTCAATTAAATGGAGAATTTTGGAGATAATAAAAATACATGCAATGTGTTTTTAGTCAGATGTGAAGATTATGTATTTTATATGAAAAGAAAAATGATTTATCACTCAGACAGTTAGCTTGAAGTTGTAGTTTAGAGGTTGAGTAGGATGTGAATCAAAATTTGAATATAGATCAAAGAAAGACACAAAGGTAGTCATCAAGCTCTCATTCTAAGTGCTGCTTATTCCCAAACTTGCATTATGATGCCATTGTTTCCTTCACTGAGTAATTCTAAACATAAGTCCTGACTGGTGGTAATGATTCTGTGGAAACGGAATTCCATACTGCATGCACATCACATGTTACTTCAGGTCTGCCAGCTTATGGCTGTTGCTTAATAGTTACCTTTAAAGGTAGATGTTTATAAAAATAAACAATTTTCAAAATATGGGCAACTTTGTAAGAAGCAACTTTGTAATATATAAGAAACATAGAATCATATTTGTGGTGTCCTGCCCGTGCTTGGTGTGCCATTATACTCTGTACTGTTGGGAATTGTTTAAAATCTCACAATTGATGATTGGTTCATTACCAATTCCACTATACTCACATTTTGTCCTAGAAATATAGCTATTTTATTAAAAATGTGATATCTGCAAAATAGGAAATCAAAAAATATATGGAGCCTGGACAATTTGACAGCTGAGGCAATCTGGACTTGTCAGTCCATTTTTGGCTTGATTTTAATTAGTTTCTTAGTTTATTCTCTTTCATCTTGAAGACAGTGAATGAGTGAGTTGGATTTTACTTTAGTTTTAGCAATATTCCAGTAATATCACAGCGGGGGACTCTAGAAGACAGACATCCATTCTACTTACATTCCATTCCCAGCTCAAGCAGCTTGTATATTGTATATTTCCTAGAATAAACTTGTCTTCATTAATGTTGCTTTGAATTTTAGGGTAATATTTGGACATTGAGATGTGTTGATGTTTATTCGATACCTTGAAATTTCTTATGTTTATGGGGCGGTGGGGTAGCCTAGTGGTTAAAGCGTTGGCTTGTCACGCCGAAGACCCGGGTTCGATTCCCCACATGGGCACAATGTGTTAAGCCCATTTCTGGTGTCCCCCGCCGTGATATTGCTGGAATATTGCTAAAAGCGGCGTAAAACTAAACTCAGTCAGTCTTATGTTTATGATACCCATGAAGGTCCGGGCTAGAATATTGATCTTCAGTAACCCATGCTTGTCGTAAGAGGCGACTAACGGGATCAGGTGGACAGGCTCGCTGACTTGGTTGACACATGTCATCATATCCCAATTGCGCAGGTGGATGCTCATGATGTTGATCACTGGATTGTCTGGTCCAGACTCGATTATTTACAGACCGCCGCCGCCATATAGCTGGAATATTGCTGAGTGCAGCGTAAAACTAAACTCTCTCACTCACTCTTATGTTCATGAACATTTTATGACAGTTTGTAAAATAGATTTGTTGTATTTAGTTTAGATTTGATTTAATTGGTAATCATATGTTGAACGCAGGAGTGTGTTATTCGATGCTTCATAATTTCATTAGTTGAAATTAGTGGTTCACATGGTCCTCTATCTCGGATGATGTCCGGGTTAAGGTCTGAAAACAGCAGATAGTTGCTATAAACTGCACACAAAGATTGTGCCTCTTTTTGGTAGTTTGATATTGTAAGACGGCAAAAACTTAGTCGTGAATTGTTGAGCTAACATTTCTCAAATCAATGACATATCCATCAAACATTCCGCGTGCAATGCAAAATATGCTTCTCTGTTTGTTTGATTTCTGACAAAAACATGCAAATATTCCTGATAAAATTGTGTAGATCACCATTATCAAATTGATGATAAATCTGTCAAAGATACAATGTAAGAAGTGTAATATTAAGGCATTTTATCAAATCAGGTGAAAGATAAGGAATATTCACACAGCTATGGGAGAAACAGATGATTTACTTTTCATATTTCCGTATTGGATATGTCAGCCATATTGGCATATATTGAGTTATCTCTGAAT